GGGGTGGGGGCTGCTGCTTTGGGCCGGGGGCGGTTGTAGCTGTTGTACCTGTCCGTGGCGGATTCGGCTCCGCTTTTCTCCGAATCGGGTTGTTCCAAAGCCGAACGTCGAACGAAAAGAGGTTCTTTAGTTTTTCCGGTTGTTTTCCCGGAATCGGAAGGTTTGGAAGAAGAATTGGTGCTTTCGGGAGGCGATTCGGAAGCTTTTCCCCCTGAATTGGGAGTCCTGGGGTCGTACAAACTGATGGCGCTGAGGACGCTGCTCTGGGCCCCCCCTTTGCTCAAACGGGGGTCGTAGGGAGCGATGGCCGGGGCCGAATCGCTCGATTCCATTAATTTGGGGTTTTTCGAACCCGCCGTTTCCGTCGATTTTTGTAACCTTGGGTCGGTGGGAGTTTTCCGTTTGCGGGGGTCGCTGGGTTTGTCGCTCTGGCTGGCGGGGGGGGCGGCGTTCACAGTCTTTAATATCCTGGAAAGAAGCTCAAAATCGGGGAGGCTGGAACCGGGGCCCGTGTCCCCCCCGGAGGTTGTTCCCCCCCCCCTTTGCCGTGGGTCGGTTTGGGGCCGGTTGAGGCGCGGATCGAGGGCGGGCATGGACTGAAGGGCAGCAGGGACAGGAATAAACTCCTGTTTGGGGATGGGAAGAGGAATTAAATCCTCCGGGCTCCAAAGGATCATCCGGGCGAAGTTGGGTTTGTTGAGAACGACGTCTTTTTTGATGTGACTGAATTGTTGGAGTTGGGAACGCGGATCCCGCAGGGAATGACCCGGGAGAGCATCCAAGGGGATGTTGACGGCTTTATCCCGTAAAACCCGTTCTCCTTCCTCTTCCTCGGGGAGCAGGGAAGGTTTGGGGGTGACACAAGGATGAGGAGGTTCGGGTTTGGAGACGGAGGAAGGAACGTGTCGCGCCAAGCGGGGGTCGGTGGGGCCCGAATCCACCGCGAGGGAGAGGTCGGGATTTCGGGAAAGGCGAGGATCCCGTAAGCGTGGATCGGCGGGTCGCCCGCTGCCCACAGCCCCGCCCTGGGATTTCTGCAGGCGGGGGTCACTGACAGCGGGGGGAGGGCCCCCCATTTCGCCGTGGGGGGGTTGGGGGTGAGGTCGGCCCGAGCTTTGTTGCCGTAAAGTTTTCAAGATGGAGGTGACGCTGCTCCCGCCCTCGTCTTCGTCACTGGAATACCAGTTCCCGGGATCTCCTGGGAGGGAGGAAGAAGAGGAAGAGGAAAAAAAGGTCATAAAAGGCCATTAAAGCACCATCCAGAGGGGATGCGGAGGAGAAGGTCCCCAAAATGTCACCTCTCAACTCAACGCTGCTCAAATACCCCCACTGGGCCCAAACAGGGGGGGCATCTGTGACAGCCCTGGCCTTGTTTCCCCCCCACCCCCAAATGCCCAGCACATCCCTCCCTTCATCTTCCTCCTGCCCCCAGCAGACTCCAGTTTGACCACATCAAACCAGTAACCCCGTCTCCTGCACCTTCTGGGGCAGCTCTTCCCAGTTTTTCAACTCTTTTGATGCTGGGGATTCTGGGATTCTCTTCCAGGCACCCAGCACCCCCCATTCCCTGCAGAATTCCTCCCCGACACCCCCATTTCTCCCCTATTTTTGGTTAGATGCCGGGGGGGAACCAAAAGAAATCCAAGTTGCCCCCCGCCTCACGGGTGGTTTTGACCAACATACATCGTATTTTGCCACTTGCCTTCC